AAGGGTTAAAAGAATTGCCAACTCTGATCAAGCCCACACTCTGGCTCCTGATATGGTGTTGACAGCCAAGCAAAGAGCTTCTTCAATAAATCTACTTTCATATTCAAGTTTTTCCAGATGTGAGAAGTAATTAAGTCTTTGCATTTATTGAAGCCTTGTATGCTTTTCAAGAGGAAACTGGCAGCTGTGATGAATTAACTCTGCTTGAGTGCATGTGTGTGTTATGTGTGTGTGTTTTGCGTGTGAATGTACATATATACAAGCACACATGTGGCATTTGCCAATAGTCAAATGAGATCAGACCTTTTCAAAAAAGCAAAGCAAAACAAAAAGCTAATTTTCATACACACCAAGAAATTTTACAGCTATAGCTCACAATTTAGAGAATATGGCTTTATCTAATATGACTTTCTTAATTTTTACTTTTACTGTATGTCAAAGGGAAGAAATGAAATTATTTGCATCTGTTAAAGGGTTTTTTAAGGAAAGGTGAAACCATGATTCTCATAAAACATAAAATGAGCACCTTTCAAAGATTTTAACTCATTAATTGAGGGCACCAGAAATATATTACAGTAGGTTAAAAGGTGAATTTGAAGAATCAAACATAAATGAATAATGGGGAATGATGAATTGAATTTACAGATAGCTACAAAAGGATCTATCAAGAAGCCAATAGTCAATTACTCTTCCCCAGGACACAATTAATTTGCATTTGTATGGCTAAAACATCATTAGCATTGTTATCAGTTTTCAATAATTTATGGTGTGGGTAAGTAGTTTAAAAATAGTGAAAGGCCAGATTAACGAGAAGGTAATGCTAGATAAGACATGATTTTTTTGTTGTTGTTGCCAATTTCAAAGTCTTTCACGTTTTTCCCTGACACCTCTCACACAAAATCTAGAAAAGACATACTTTTTCAGAATAGTCAAGCTGGTTTTTTTTTCATGCTTGACACTTTGGTTCTGATTACAAGCTACACAGAAGCCATTCAAACCTTGGGCTTCTCTTGGTGGGAAGGATTTCAGAAGTGCTTATGGTTTTGGCTTTGTTATTAAATTGGAACAAATAACTCAAGTAAGTAGCAAATTGAACCAAAGTCTTCTTTCAGTTCACTGGGTGCTTATGTTAATGTAGACTCTGAATAAGAGGATTCTTTTTTTTTTCCCCTCCTCTTGTCAATATACTTAGAAGAATAGATATTTAAAATTTTGGCATCTCAACCATCCCCAACCTGCAAATTGTTGTGCCAAAGATTATTTGTGGTTTCTTGTTCTTCTCTTTCTCCAACACAAGTGCAGATGTGTGGCTTTCATTTGTGAGTAGGATCTGTATTTGTAAACATAGGAAGTTGAATACAGAAAAACACTATTAAATCTTATTTTAGCAGAGTTCCCTGTGCTGTCCAGTAGGTCCTTGTTGGTTATCTATTTTAAACATAGAAGTGTCTACATGTCGATCTCAGTTATGTGGCAGCATGGATAGGAGGTGGCTGAGTCTCTCTGCTTTGCACCTGCAACTATCACAATGTTGTTTATTGGCTGTGTTATTGTTGCTGTTTAGTCGCTGAGTCCTGTCTGACTCTTTGTGACCCCCGTGGACTGTAGCCCACCAGGCTCCTCTGTCCATGGATTTTCCAGGCAAGAGTACTGGAGTGGATTGTCATTTCCTTCTCCAGGGGATCTTCCCAACTCAGGGATTGAACATTCGTCTCCTGCATGGGCAGAGGGATTCTTTACCACTGAGCCACCAGAGAAGCCTCATTAATCAGTTATACTCCAATATAAAATAAAGTTTTTTAAAAAATCTTATTTTAATGGCAAAATTGGTAATGGTGACAATTATTCAGTTGCTTTGCATCCTTTAGATTTCTAATTAACAAACAGTAATGAAATAGCCATTAAAAAGAGAGGATAGACTTAATGAGTGTTAACTGTAAAAATAGATTGGGCTAATAATAAACAGGACTCTACTTTTTGTAAAGAAGACAAACTGCCCTAGAGAGCTTATATTTCTTGTTTTAAGAAACAATTTCTCCCCCTCATCTATTGGTAAAGTTCTCTTTTAGATAGATGCCAAACGATGAAGAAACACATAAGGCAAAAGTAAAATAATCAGGGATTCAACAGAGAAGTAAGAACCTTCTGGGGATAGATAGTCATTTAAAAAAAAAAAAGAAAAAAGGCAAAATGAGTACTTGAAAAGACTGCCAAGGCAGGCAAACTTCTCTCTCATCTACCATTTAGGGGAATATGTTATAATAAGACATGTTAAATTAATTTTTAAACTGGAAATATTCAGTTTATCTCTAAATATCCCTCGGAACAGAGAGCTGAATCTCAATCTATTTCAGTTGTTTATTATGGAATTTAATTTGCAAGTCACTCATCAGCATGAAGGAGAAAAAAAACCACAGAAAGGAGAAAAAAAGTGAAGTAAATATGAAACACTTTTCAGAATTCAAGAGATGCTTATTGTATGTGACTTTAAGAACAAGAAGACAGTCAGACACTGCATGATTTGTGATGATGGTGTAGACTTGCTTCCTTGGCCAGGGTCTGTGTCTCCAGAGACCTTAATTACCCCTGGGACCTGTCAGTTGTTATAGAAATAGATTTGCTTATACATAAACATCAAACTATAAAAATATGGAAGACTTCTGTACTCCAAATACACGAGCTAACTCTTGCCTTTGGGTTGTTATGCTGCATGAAGACTTCCCGGCCTTTAAAAATATATTGAAGGTTTAGAATTTACTCTTTCAAATGAGACGGTCTTTTGATATCAAGTTCTTTTCCTGGAACTGTGTACCTTTATTCGATAGTTGAAAACGGTTGTAAGGGGCTTTCCTGTTTTTAGGTGCTTTCCTTTTATTAACTTTGGGCAATTCAGTTTTTCTGCTTAATGATGGAGACTCTGAGCCAGAGAGGGATTAAATCATTTTCCCTAGAGGATGTGGGAGAGCCACACCTGCATCTCAGGGGGTGTTTGGCTGTAGATAATGTGATCCCATCCTTGGTCTCATCCTCAGTCAGGGCAAGGTAAGTTAAAGGGCTCAACAGCTGTGCAGATATTGCCTTTTGGCTCAGCCTAAGGTGAAAATATGTATTAAAATACAGCATTTAGCATGGTTTAAGGAGAAAAAAAAAAGAAAATCGGGAAATTTTGAAACATGATAGCTATCCATGAAGAACACTTCCTTCATATTCCCAAAGTCCCATTTTGGAGCTATTAAGAGACCTTTACTGTGATGCAGTTCAGGGCTTAAAATATTTAACAGAAAATTTTACATGAATTTTATATTATACCTACAGGTAAAAAGGAAAAAAATGCATTCAATCAAAAGTAGTAATGTATCTACCTCACCAAACATTCCATTAAGGAGTTCCTACAGCAAGTCTTAAATTATTTAAAAAAAAAATTTCCTACCTCATTTTAGCACAAATTAAATTTTGCTCACCATTGCATGTTTAAAATCAAATTCAGTGCCTAGAATAACCTTATTTATTTGAATGAATGAACATAGGGCTCTAGTTAAATTTTGGTCCTAATGCTCCACTAGGTAACTTTGTGAATAAGACAAATAATTAATTTCTGTTGACATCAATTTTGTTCTGTATGAAAGAGAGGGCTTTAGCAGGATAGACTTCTTAAGGACCCTTATAGGTTTAAAATTCTGATTTTAAAATCTTATATGGAAAATTTGTGTTCACATAGTATATGGCATTTGTTTTTGCTTTCCAAACTTTTGTGCATAATCTCAACAGATTATTTTCTTCCAGCACAGTGGAGAGACAATAAGAATTTGTTGTATGATGGAAAATGAGAAAATAGCAGCCACTGAAGTCTGACCAAGGTAATTCACCATAGAGAGGAGATGTCACCATGAGCTTTGCAAGTACTGTCACCTCAAACACTAGCCAGGCAATGCATCTTAGGCAGCTTTGGGAAGATTTTCTTCCTATGCTTCTAGAAGTTTACAAGAAAAGCTTATAAAAAAATATGCTTTTCCTATTTCCAAATAAAGATAATGTAATATAGTTTCTATAGAACAATAGTCTTTTGGCAGAGGGCTTAAGGGAAACAAGTAGAGTCCACACATTCTCTTCGTTTATGGAACAAATTTAGCATACAGAGAATTTCCTCAGAGAATTCTCTACACTGGCATGACATAACTATGATTTTATTTTTATATTTTCTTCACCACACCATACAACATTTGGGATCTTAGTTCCCTAAACAAGGATTGAACCGTCACCCCTTACATTGGAAGCATGGAGTCTTAACCACTGGACCACCAGGGAAGTTCCCATGACTATGATTTTAAAGTTAAAGTTTCCAGTTTCAGAACCCTTGAGGCATTTCTTCTTATATTTTGCTGGTAAGCAGGTTACGTAATGCCACTAAGTTTGCATTAAAAGTCATTTCATAAAATGATCAACAACTCTTAGTAGAACACAACCATTTTTTCAGAATAAAACAATATTTCCCTAAGTAATATTTCACAGAAGAATGTTAGTTTTCTGCAGTATCAAATGTCAATAAAAGAACAGATAGGTAGGTAGGTATGTAAGTAGGTAGTAGATAGGTTAGATTAGATTAGATGAATAGGCTTTTGTTTTGGGGAATTGCTGGGTTAAGCAAACTTAAGTAGTTTTCTTGGTTGTGGGTCTTCTAAGGTGTGGTGTGGGAGCTTCTAATGTGTCATTATGCCTTGTGGATCTCTTAAGTGGCAGGGGTATAGATTAGCATACAGGTTTCCCCAGGCATGTTTATTTAAGAAACCGCTCTTTCCCCTTCAGAGTATTCTGCAGAATTTTAGCCTCATACAACACAATTTGAGACATCTATATATGATGATTGTATAGAATTTTTTTTCTTTTCAGAATTTTTAGGCAAGGCCAAGGCAGTTTAAAAAATTTAAAACTAAATATGATACTAACACAACATTGTGAAGCAATTATACTCCAAAAATGGAAAAAAAACCCAAAACTAGATACACTATTAAGAGAAAACATTATTATACTTTTCTACTTGGAATGTATTTTTTTATTAAAGTTATGTTTTATATCATTTGTTTCATTATTCACCATAAGGTACTTTTTATTTTGTCCCACACTGATATGCTACGGCTTTATAAAATTAATTTGTCCTAGGATTTAAAAAACCAAATTGATAAATTGAACTGTATAGTCTTAGAACTACCTCAGTTGATATTAAAGGATTTGTTTTGAGAAATGCATTTTGAATTATATAACTGGTAATACATACTGCATTGTAAATATTGTTATAGTTTATTCTTCTAAATCTTTCCAAGCATGTATTACACATTGAGAAATATACAAATATCTAGTGAAATTTGTAAAAATTGACCCAATGGGCAGAATTGAAAGAGGGTAATTATTATTTTTTGAAATGATGATGTTTCTAGAATTCTTAAATAATATATCAGCCTATGTTAACTATAGCTTCTCATGTTTAATGATGTTTACAATTAAAATAATACAATAGCAATGTATGATTAACAACCATAATTAACTCAGAATAGATTCTTCGAAGTGGTTCAAAGGGCTTTCCATGATAAATTACTAGACTTTAATCAGCTAATATAAAGTATTTTTTTAGACTGAAGAAGTATATATATGTCTCATAAAAATTTTAATTTAACTTAATGAAATGAGTTTAATGATCCAGATTCACCATACCAACTCTGGGGTATGTCTGACATTCCAGTGAAAGTTTTATTTAGATGGAGTTGAGGAATCTTTGAGATAGTAGGCTTTACACTGTGTTATCTTGAGTGTTATAGCTGAGTGGTTTTCCCAGAATCTCTAAGTCTTGCTCAAACCATTTTATGAATGAATTGAATTCATGAAATGTTAATAAACTGGTCTTAGTTTAAAGAATGTTGACTTGAAAAGTTCACAAAATTGAATTTTGCCTATTAAAATATTCTTTCCTCTTATGAGGCTAGTCCTTGCCAACCTCAGTGATCAGGTTCTATCCACTCACACACAGCTGTGATAAGGAGGGTGAAGAGTGAGCTAAATAGGGAGGAGGCCTGGGCAAGGTCATTTCTGCCAGAACACAGAGATGCCAAGATCTCAAGGGTGCTGCAGTATATAAAAAGGTGCTGCACTTGTGAATTTAATACATACATACATACATACATATATATATAAAGAGTAAAAATGAGGGTTCCTGTATTTGAGGATGTGAAAGATGAAACTGAAGAAGAAAAAACAGGGGAAGAAGAAGATGAAGAAGATAAGGTGGGTGACACAGTACTTGCTGAGTCGTGGTGTTTATTCCTTAAAGTTGATGATGAGAAAAATGTCTCCTTTTCTTTTTCCCTGGCCAGGTATTCTTTAAGCCTGTTATTGAAGACCTGAGTATGGAATTGGCCAGAAGGTGCACTGAACTCATTAGTGATGTAAGTGGCTTAAGAGTTTTTATCTGTTTTGCCTTGCATATGTGCAAGATTATATCATTGAATCAGAGAGCTGAGGAGAAAACCCTGAAATCATTTATTTAAAACCCAGTGATTTTCCAAATCATGGAACTAAGTCCAGAAATGTTAGATGGTTTTCCCAAGGTCACCTAGACAGATGATTTCTGTGGGGACATGTCTCTATGTTCTTAAGCCAAAATCTTGTGCCTTCTTGGACTTCACTGTCACTCTGGCATGAAATCATAAAGCATCAAATTTCTGAACATATTCCATTGAGAATACAAAGCCTTTTACAATTCATGTAATGATGTAATTTGTTTTGAGAGGATCTCTATCTAAATGAATGGTTTTTAGCATTTTTGAGTAGCTTTTATGGAATCTGATGAATCCAGTAGTTTTCCAGACCAGAAACATGAATATTTCAATGTGCATCTAACATTTATTAGCAATTTAGGATTCACAGTTTACTGAACTGCATGTTGAGAACTCTGAACTGGATGTGGATGATGCTATCAGTGAAAGGAGCATTTTTGTTGTAACTTTTTTGTTAACTGGGATCAGTTTATGTTGTATATCGAAGGAATCCTGGAATCACAGAATTAAGTAATATGGGCAAACTCTGGGAGATAGTAGAGGACAGAGGAGCCTGGTGTGCTGCAGTCTATTGGGTCACAGAAAGTCAGACACAATTTAGTGACTGAACAACAACAATCTATTTATTTTCTGTCTACCTATTTATCTATAGTAAATACATAAACTAGGATGGTAGAAGCAAGGGAAATGGGTTCTTCTCTTGGGACGAGAATTTAGATGATCCTCACTAGAACAGTTATATGAGAATTGGTGGTACACAGAGAAGATGCCTCATGAAGTGTGAGTAGGTGCCTGTCTTATCTAGAAGGGGGAGCAGAGAACTGGTTATTTCTGTTGTTGTTCTTAAGCAAGATGATCAGAATAGTTCACAAACTTTTATTTGCAGAGGAAGTCAATCCTGGGCCATATAGTCAGTGTTTTCTGAAATCTGCCTGTCTGAGTAGTTTAACAGTAACTCTGGGCAGGTTGGCGGGACACAGTTCCTCAAGGGAAGTGTTTAAAATACTAAGATTAAGAAATAATAACACATTTGAAGTGTTTAGTAAATTGTCTGGAACATTGTGAGTAAAGAGATGCTAGCTGTTATTAATGATTGTCTCTATAAATTAATTTTGTATCCGTCCAATCACATTTTATAGATGATTCTGTGCTCCCTTCTGGTTTGTTAGAAGAGCCAGGATGGTGGACATCAGAACCCTTCCTGTATACTTGACATGTAATGTAATTAAATTTTAAATTGAGTGTTTCTTTGTGCCGTTTCTTAATATTCATCACAAGCTACTATATGTAAAATTTCTTTGTAAGTTATAATAATAATAATAATGAAATGATAACAGCAACAACAGTGATAGTAAAAGCAATAACAGCTAAGATTTATTGAGGACTAAGTGCCAGGTAATGCAGCTTGTGAGGTAGGTTCTCTTGTTTTCCCATTTTAGAGGTGAGGGAAAAGAAGGCTCCCTCTGAGAGGTTAAATAATTTGCCTGGATCACACAGTTAAGTAGTGGGGAGTAGGACTTGAACATGAAGCCCTGTCTCTTGGCCAGTTTGCCATGTTATCTGTCCTATAGCTTTCATGCAAAGTTTACCTTAGCTTTATTATTATGTATTACACAAATATTAGTAATGTGACCATTTAAAACTTCAAGTTCCATAACTCTGGAGATAGTACCTCTTTCAGTGCTGTTTTGCTTGAGGTGTATTTGTGGCTGAGTCAAGTTATATAAACTATTAAAATGACAACTTTAGTTAGTAGGTGATAAGAGCATTTCTCAGTGACTTCAAAACCAATCTTGTAGTGAGGGGCGATGGCCTTTACTGTTTTGACAAAGCAAAAGCCATGGTATTTCACTCTAATGTAGGTGAAGTCAAATACGTGAGAGCAATTTCTGTTTATGATAGGTTTATATTGCATAGCCTGTTCTACTTAAATATTTAGATCATATTACTGTGGCCTAGTTTATATCTGTGTACATGTTGACATTTTGTTTCCAGAGAGAATTTCATACTTATTAAAATACTGGTTCAATTTTTGAAATTTTTACATTTACCAGGGCACAGTCTGAACAATTACTTTCTTTGTTTCTAAAAAAAAAAAAAAAAGAATCAAGAGTTTGTACAATCATTTTTAAATCAGATTTTAATTTAACCTTTCTGGAAGAGTTTCAGGGATTGGACTGAATCAAATTTCTATTGTTTTTAGAAATGTAATTAAATAGTATTATTAAGTAATAACTTGTTCATTCACACTTGGTGTCATCAATGTTTTCATATGGAGCAGATTAACTTAAATTTGAAATTCTTTTCTTTGTTGTGTTGTCTGCATGACTAGATGGTGGTCTAAAATGTATATTTGAAATTGCATCAATACAGAGCTAAAAACAAATATAGAAAGGACGAATTGAGTTAGATTGGAGTTCCAGTCAAGTCTTTATTATGTCTCTGATAGTGTCCATCTGTTTGTGCTCACATTTAATTTAGTCCACCAGTCTCTGCCCCAGTCTCTATCTTAAAGACAAACCTTCAAGGACTTTAGTTTTATTTTATAATCCTTTATATCCCAAGGGGGAAATCTATGTGTTTACCTGAGTCTTTTTGTTTGTTTGAAGGCAATCTGTTTGCAGCTTGTCACCATGTGAATTTGGTTTTCTGTTTGCCTGCTTTATAGAGTCCTACATCTTGAAGCTTTAAGAAGCTGGCTCACATTTTCTTATTTATATTTATTTAGCTGCATCGTGTCTTTGTTGCAGCATGCGGTATTTTTCATTGCAGCATATGGACTCTCTGGTTGCAGCTTGCAGTCTTAGCTTCTCCATAGCACGTGGGGTCTTAGTTCCCTGTCCAGGGATTGAACCTGCATCCCTTGCATTGCAAGGCTGATTCTTAACCACTGGACCACCAGGGAAGTCCCAGGCTCACATTTTCTTGATGAAATCACACAGGTGGTGTGACACTGACCTGGGATTTGGAACAAGGTCTATCTGACTCCCAAACCTTGGCTGCCACGATGTCCTTTCTCTGCTGTTATGTGCCAGGCACTCCACTGCAATACTGCATTTCATGCCACAGTGAGCTAAGTGCCAAAGGCCCCGTGAGCCTTAGTTCAGAGGTGGTGAAACCCGGCATTGAGTAGCTTGTCCTTGGCCACCTGACTAGTCAGGGATGGGGACAAGATTCAGGTTTAGATCTGGCAAGTCCAGCGCCTGGCTGGTAGCCCCTCACTCTGCTCCTTTTTCCAGATGAGAAGGTTGGTTTCATGGATTTCTCTTCATGGCACAGTCTCTCTGCATCCCCTTCGTTATCATTCTGATCATTCCTCTCTGGACCTCTTTGAGCTTTCATGTATCTTTATCAGGATGTAATAATGAGAACTGTGCACAGAGGTCCAGATGTGGATGGCTGTGATTATGAGTAGGGAAGCATGCTGTTTCCTGCCTGCTTTGTGATGATATTTACAGTTTCTTGGACGAAGGGGGGCTGCAGAGAGCTGTTAGATCAGCCTCAGGAAGGAGAGCATCCTCAGCCATTTCCAGTCCTAATTTCTGACTTGTAGCTGATCACGTAGGGCCCATCCTCTTTTAATAGTCCGAGTGATTTTCCCTTGCTAGGGACGATCTAATCTGTAGTGGCCTGTCCTCTCACACAGCCCTTTGAGAGCTTCTGCAGTGCGTCTCTTTCAGTTTACTGTCTCCCTCTCCATAAGAGCGCGAGGTCATCAGCAGACCTGCAGACTTCGCTGTATCATGCCCCTGCCAGATAATTCACTAAAATGTTAAGTAAGAATGGCCTAGTGATAAGTCCTGGAAGGCTTGCACTGTTTAGAATTCTCCATAGAAAGAAATGTCTGTTTTTCAGATCAGTTTTTCAGGCTTCATTTTGGGGATCAGTATGAGGCATTTAAAAAAAATTAAAAAAAAAATTTTTTTTGCCTTGCCTAGTTTCTGCTTTGCACGTGCTCTGCCCATACTGTGGGGTTTTCCCTCTGCATAGCTCACTTCCCAATCTTGAAAGACACCTGGTTCTCTGAGGCAGCCTTTTCTGTTTTTCTCTTAGCCATGTAATGCTTTTTATTTCCCCAGCTATCCTCTCTTTGGTATTTTGTCCTGTTACTCAGCTATCTAATCAATTCCTTGAATAAATCAAACCCACTGACTACACTGAGCAGGCAGCATCATGGATCTGGGAGCCTTTTGTAGGGTGGTCATAAAAAATAGTAGGTTAAAAGGGACCCTTTGTGTGTTTCTTGTAAATTAGGATAAAGAGTCTCTGCAGAGCAAGTGAGCCCGCATTTGCCAGAAGCCTCTGACTCAGTGTTTTGATTCAAACCTTTTTAGGGTGTTCATTTGTGTGGCAGCAGGAAGAACATTTTCCAGGCAAGTGAACATTGTTTATTGTGGGTAACCCTTCCCGATGCTGAAAACATGGGATTCCATGGTTACCCCTCCAGAGAAAGCTCCAATGGGGTTAAGAAACCTGGGAGAGCAGCCTTGGCTCTGAGCGCCTCAGTCAAGACACAGTGCTAGAGCCACAGTTCTGTCTTCCAGGACTCATTGCATTTAGCCAGTGTGGTTCCATTTGTGAAAAGACTTCCTAGCTCCTTCTGGTTAAGAATGCTTGCAAAAGGAAATACCCTCTAACATTTCTACATCTGTCTTCCGCTTTCGGCCATCAGCTGGTCTCACACTAAAGTGAAAGAAACTAGGCTAAGAAGAGGAAGCACACTCAACTAATTTAAGTCGAACTGTAGTTGAGACATTGTGGGATTAATGGGTGAGGTCAGCAGACAGTAAATTATTTAGGGCATCTTACTGACATTAAGTCATCAACTTTGGATTGTGTATTGGTTGTGAGTGCACATGGCTGCACAGAACACAGAAATCCTAGCACAGAGGCTTAACAGATAGATGACTATTTTTTTGAGATGAATCCTGGCTGATAACATCAGCCTTGATGTTATCAGGCTCTCAGGCTCCTTTCCTTCTGCTCTGCCATCATTGGTATGGTGGTTTACTACTGTCTTGTGATGGCTTGGTTCCTGCTGTTTTCCTATGGCCGGGGAAGACAAAAGGTGGATGGGCGAGGTGTCAATGGGCTGTGTCAGAAAGTCTCTCCCCTTGTGTGAGCTTCACCAGTAATAATGCTGGGGAGACTTCCAAGAATGTCTCATGGCCAGAGCTGGGCACCTGTCCTCCCTGAGCCATCACTGGCCAAAGGGAATGAGAAAGCCATGCCTGTCTCAGAGCAGTTTGTCCTTTGCTGCTGCGGTAGGGGCGTATCTCCTCCTGTAAATACACTTGAGTTCTATTGTTAGGAAAGAAAGGGATTGGAGAGGCAATCTATCCAATAGATGGGGCCATCTGTTAGATTTGGAATTGACTGTCTACTCAGTGATTTTTATTTTACCTAAGATTTAATATTAATCATCAACGTAGTTCCCTTTCATCTATTTTTTCCAATTCTCATGGTATACGAAAGCTACTAATTCGTGGTATTCTTTATATAAAAATTTAAGATCATGTGCTTCCTGTCTGTCATGTTGTAAAATTCATTAGAAATACAATATGAGTGACAATAAGCATATAGTAGGTGTTTGTGTGTGTGTATCTTTTAAATAAAGACCAAAGAAAGGAATGGAACACACTCAAGACTGAACTATTTGCCTGCATAGCAGAGGAAGTAAATGCTTCACCTTTATCCCTAGCTCCTGTCCTGAACATTCTGCTCAAGTCAGAGCTTATCAGAGGCTGCAGCCACAGCACATACCACTGCTGTGAAGAATGTGAATGGGAGAGGGAAGAGATGGTGGCAAAAGATAAAAATAATGAGCCAAACTTAAACCTAATGATAGCTTATTTTCTCTCATGCTTAATTATATGACAGAGATACTTTTTTTCTCTCCTTATGATCAAAATAGCCTACTATTTATCATAGTGCCATTAACGGTTTAATTACTAGTGACTGAGGACGGTGATTTGCAGAGACCTAAAATTATGGCTAATCTCTGAGAAGAAAAAAAAAAGCAATTTAGTGCTCAGATAAGATAAATATGTTCTAATGTTGATTTCATGAATAAAGCAAATGTTTTAATGTGGTCAGCATCTAATATCTGAGTCATCACCGTGAAATACGGCATTTAAAATAACGTTACTCAGTATGTTTGTGGCTGGTTATACCTCAGGTCAAATAATGCCCCTTAGGTCTGTTCAAATATGGTGAAATTTCTATGTCATGTTAAAGTGTAACATCAACATTAGTCATGTTCTTTAAGAACCAGGTAGTGTATACCATTAAACTTCACTTTTAGGCTGTAATTAGGGAGGCCATGTAATTTATCATCTGAACTATGACATTTTTTTCAGTCTAAGTATTTACAGTCTTGGGTAGATAAGCGTGACTTTATTACAGGGTGATACAACTTTCAGCAAATTACCTTCATCCTCTCAAACAGTCATAAGTTTTGCCTGCCCAGTTATCAGATTGGATGGCAATTAGTGTGACAGTGGGATTACATTTTGGGTCCCTCTCTATAGTTCCTGACTTCTTTTTGACTTATCTACCCATGCGGGATCTTCTCTCAGAGTAATCCTGGCCTCTCCTGAGGGGAGAAAGAGTGACCCCTCTCACTACTGAATTGGAAAGAAGAAATGAGGATTGCTCAGCTAAGCCTTTCTGGACTTTGTCCTATTTGTCTGCCTGCCACCACAAGGGGGCATTCTGCAGTGATCTCCACAGGTGACAGGCTTTCGGGGTGGGTTCTATGCTTGGGGGAGGGGAGGAGGTTGGGGAGGCCTATGGGTTCTCATAAATTGGATATTCAACCTTTGATTTGAGTGTAATTAATTAGTAACCAGAATCCCACTGTGGCCACAGTTTTTGCCCCCTCCTCTAATCCAGCATGTCTAGGTAATGATGCTAACAGTAATCTCCATTTGTTTAATTTTGTTATCTTCTTAATTGGTCACATCTGTCCTGATGACTCCTAACTTTAAACCCAGAGGTAGTCAACTGTGTTTCTGTTTGACCATAGGATTACCTGTTAGGGTCTGTGGCTTAAAGTAACAATAAATTAGGACAATTGTATGAGTGAAATGGAGAATTTTTTTTTTTAAAGATGTGAGTTAAAATTTGTGTGTGTGATATGACATAGCTACACAAAAAATGTATAGATTGGATATATCTATTTTATGTACATCTGCTATACTTATTCCCTCGAAATTGTGTTAGTTCTCAGTATTCAAGTTATCTTGAGAAAGGCCATGCTTAGCACAGAACTAGATTTATTTACTGAGAAATTTTAGCATGGTTTGAAGAAATCAAGTAATAAAGGAGTCTTCTGAGTATGCAATACTTTGTTGTTGTTGTTTAGTTGCTAAGTTGTGTCCAACTCTTTACAACTCCGTGGACTGTAGCCCCCCAGGCTCCTCTGTCTATGGCATTTCCCATGGATTGGGAACATATGGAGAAGGAAGTGGCTACCCACTCCAATATTCTTACCTTACCACTGAGCCACCTGGGAAGCCCATGCAATGCTTCTTTTTAAAATAAAGAAAAAATTTATTTTTTAATTAATTTTTTTGATGTATAGTTGCATTACAATGTTGTGTTATTCCCTACCGTAGAGCAAAATGAAGCAGCTGTATGTATACCCATATCCCCTCTTTTTTGGATTTCCCTCCCATTTAAGCCACCACAGAGCGCTGAGCAGGGTTCCCTGTGTTATACAGTAGAGGCTCATGAGTTAGCTATTTTATACGTCGTACCAATGTTTCTTAATTATGCTGAAGAAGCTGGACAAATGGGACCCACAGTCAGTGTGGGTCCAACACACATGATCCTTGATGGTAGCTGTACCCTTGCTTATCTAAAGAGCGGGCTTTTTCTTACCCTGCCTCATCACCTTTGTCGTCCTGGGCTGGATATCAGTTTATTTGATTTGGCTTGTTTTGAGCGTCATTCCACGTTGGAGTATTTATTTCAGAAAATAGACTTGTGCAGGCTAATTCTTCTGTTCAAAAAGGGAGCATTACAGTTGTTTTTTTTCTCTTATGTAAAATGTTCTCTCTTTTAGATCCATTATAAAGAAGAGTATAAAAAGTCTAAAGACAAGTGTACGTTTGTGACTGACACGCCTATGCTAAACCATGTAAAACACATTGGTGCTTTTATTTCTGAGGTAAGGTATCAAAACTTTTAAATGGCTTGGATTATTTTCTATTTATGTAGATAAAAATTTGTGTATTAAAATTAGAGAATAATGTTTCTGATAATACCACTGAATGTTGATATTAATAATAAATGTATAATTATGTAATTCTATGCATTATGTCAATTAACTTATGTAAACTGGTAGCTTATTATCTATTGTTGATATGTTTCATCATATGTATATTGACTAACCTTTTTTCATTTACATCAAATTAAAAGGATATATTTTTATTCAATAGAAAGTACTGGAAAAATAGTTTCAGAAGTTCCATTATTTTATTTCTTTTTTTTTTTTTTTGAGTAGTATTCCATTTGTGGATATATCACCTTTTTTTTTTTTTTCCAATCCATTTACTCACAGGAGAATATTTGAGTCATTTCCAGTTTGGGAAATTTATGAATAATGCTGCTATTAATGCTGCTGTTAAAAATTAATACACAGGTTTTTGTGTGCATGTAAGTTTTCACTTCTCTGTAATAAATAAATACCTACAGAGAAGATAGCTCAGTCAAAAGGTAAAATATATGTTTTTAAGTATATTTTTATCTTTATAAGAAAATACCAAACTATTATCTAGAGGGCCTGTCCTGTATCATATTGCATTCTCCCCAGATATATATGAGAGTTCTACTTGCTCCATTATTTTATTTCTTAACAGACTTACTAGATATAAATGATCCAATCTCATTTTGAAAATAAGTCAAACTTATCAGCAGATTCCATAAAATGTGGTATCTTTGGTAAGTAACTTCAGATCAGTTTGAACTATTTTTGGTTAGGATCAGTTCAACAGAGATACCTACTATGAAACCATAGAGTAAGAAATGTGCTACATTCATTTCCCAGCTGAAAAATCGTATAATCTTTTTCTGAGCGCATATAGAACTGCAGCTTATGTTTTCTTATAAAGCACAATGTTAACAGTGATTTCTGTGATGAGGCAGTGCCAGTGTCTGTGAATAGATCATTTTGAAGAGATAAACATGAAAAGAAGATGATTAGATAGTGTTGCAGATGACTGACCTCTAGTGTTTCTTAAGTTGTTGGAAAAAGATCAACATGATATTCTTGCGATTATTTCTGCCAACATGAAAGCATTTTGAAGAAAACTGGTAAATTTTAAGTATGAAAATCTGAAGAGTTATGGGAACACACGGCTTACACAAGTTATATGCTCAGTGAATCAACACTCAAATCTGGCTCCAAGTAGGAGTAGAGTCAGGGACTTGTGGATAGAGCGGGGTAAGCCACAGTTTTGTTTACTTCTGTAAGCTATTAAATACTATTTCTCCTTCACAGAGAAATGCTTGGTGTTCTTAATTATTAATTGAGTCTTTTTCCTGAAGGAGTTAACTACAGAGAAAAAAAAAGGAGGAGGGCAATCTGTTACATTCCTTTGAACCTAATCTTCCCAAGAGAAAATAGTGAATGAGTGTCTCTCTTTATGAGTAGTGACTAAGATCATTTAAAGGCAGTGCAGATTGTATGTGGGAAAGTGCAAAAACAGCAAAAAAGCTCCCCCACCTCAGCACCCTGCCATTGTGGTGGAAGAAGTTAAGAAGACTTGAATAAAGGAAGGCTGTCCTTTGTGTTCAGGTTCTAGACAAATTCTAATGACTTGGGTTTTCTGGAACAGCTCAAATGTCTCATTCTCATATATTTTTCAATGATCAAATATATGAAATTGTTGATACACAAATAGAATTAATTTTAGAAATGTGCATGGGGTTAAGTAGAAAAATAACCATTATTTAATTAAAATTTTCATTTGAGGTATAATTGATGTGGAATATTATATTAGTTTCAGGACTCCATATTTGTATGCACTGTGAAAGGACCACCACAATAAGTCTGTCATCATATGGAGTGACACATCTTATTTATTTTTTTTCCCTTATGATGATTATTTTTTAAGATTTACTCTCTTGGTGACTTTCAAATATGTGATACAGTTTTATTAACTGTAGCCACCATGCTAGATTTTATGTCCCCATGTATTGATTTATGACTGGAAGTTTGTACGTTTTGACCGCTTTGCACCCATTTCTCCCATCCCTCAACCCTCCTTTTCCAGTTGTTATTTTCTTGCATGTTTGATTTAAAGGTTTTACCATGATAAATTGTATTTATTTCTTCAAATATGACCATTAGGTTTGGTATCTGAGATTAAAGTTGACTTTATATATTTAAAAATATTTTATTGGAGGATAGTTGCTTTACAATGTTGTGTTATTTTCTGCCATGCAACAAAATAATCAGCTATTCATGTACATATCTCCCCTCGTTTTTGGATTTCCTTCCCATTTAGGTCACCACAGAGCCTGTAGTAGAGTTCCTGAGCTATACAGTAGGTTCTCATTAGTTACCTAGTTTATACATAGCAGTGTATATATGTCAATCCCAACTAATTTGTTTCCTAAGAAAGTACTTTTCTTTATTCTCTTTCAATATTCACAGTGAAAGAAAAACTAAGACATATTTATTTTTCTTTTCTTTCTTCCCCCCTAGGCAAAATACAAAGGCACCATTAAGGCGGACCTTTCCAATTCTCTGTATAAGCAGATGCCAGCCACAATTGACAGTGTCTTTGCCAGAGAAGTTACACAGCTACAGAGTGAGGTATGGTTCTCCTAAATTATTATATAATTATGTAAATCAAATATATACCTAATACACATTGTTTAGCATTTTATAAAGTGTTGTTTATCTTAGATAATAAATATGGAGTGAAACATTGGAAGCAACTGATTCATGTTCTGTCAGCAGTCACTGATAGTGATGGTCACTGATAGTCACAAATAGTGACAAAGACCTCCCAGTGTGTTAGTTACATGATACAGTCTTTGCTAGTCCCCATTCACCACTGCTAACAGAGCAAATATGAATCTTATTTAGACAATTTACTTAGATTACAATCTTATAGAAAATATTAAACTAGTCTTTGATTTAACTTGTGAGAGAACATACCCATAGCTTATTAAAAGTCACATAAACAATTAATGGTGAAAGTCAGGATCCATAGATCTGTGCTCCCTCAACTAAACAAGTGATTCCTGAATTTTTTTTTTTTCCTCGTGGATGGATGGTGTTTTCACTTAGACTATCTCAGGCTCCCATAAAAGCCTCCACCAGGTGGAAATGGCTATTTTAATGATTGCAAGTTGCAGACAGACTTAAGAACTATCATCATGTAAGCTAATTTTGAATCCATGAGAGTTTAGGAGTAATTTTCCTTTTAGAATACATTAACACAGAAGGAATCCTTAATTCACTTAATCTATTGTGTTCCTTAAAACAGAATTTCAAAATAGAATATTTCACCTCTTTCTCACTCATATTATTGCTAAGTTTTCTTCATAGTACACTCTGATTTTTTTTTTTTTTTTTGGTTACTTTATTCATCCATAAGAGCAGGACCCTCATCTGTCTTGTTCCCTGCTCCATCTCTGTGCTTAGGAGTCTAGGGACTCCTAGAACACAAGGGGTGTTCAATAAATACTTGTAAAATGGATTTTTGTTCAGTTGATTGATTTTTTTTAAAAGAAATGTTTCCTTTTACATAGTTTATATTTTTCATGCTACATTTTTGGTTAATAATAATAAATACATAAAAATGCTCACTACGTGTCAGGTACTGTTCTATTCATTTCAGATATATTTATATCATTTATTGCTCACAACTCCATGAGATAGCCTCATTTTGGAGGTGTGGAAGCTGAAGCACAGAGAGGCTAGGTGACTTGCCCAAGGTCACACAGCTGACAAATAGCAGAGCCAGCATATGAACATGGGTGAATTTGCTCTAGAGTCTGGGTTCTAAGCTATATCCATTACCACTTCTTTCTTACTTTTTCTACCCCTCTTTTTAAATTTTTTATTAAACAAGTTCACCTCTTTCTCCAGAATCCTTTTATTTTTAAGTAGAGGATACGTAGATAATTTTAAAATAGTCTGAAAATAGATTACTCTTGAACAACACCAAGTATAGTTATTCTTTGCAGAATATCTTTAAGTACTTCATTATCACAGACTTAAGATGTCCACTGTGTACCCAGCTTGGCAGTAAGCTAATCTCAGCTGTGCAACATGAGGCTAAAAATATATGTCAGGACTCTGCATGGCTGACCATGACTAATATGCCCACCCTTTTTTTCCCACCCAACACCTGGTAACCCAGCCACTTGCTAATCATACAGAGTACTTTTTAAAGCAAATAATTATAACATTTGATATTTGATAGGATTTTTGTGATAATAATAAGCAATAGTTACACAATAAAGAAAAGAAAAATCTTTTCTTAGTTTTATACTTACTGGGGAAGGTAACATTTTCAGATATTTACATTCTTAATTGCTTTGCAAGTGCACAACTTTTCTCAAATTTTTACGGCATAAGCATGTCTATAGTACACAACTATGTGTACATAGAACTTAACATAAAAAGTAATCCATATTGGACGTTTTGGAATCTGTTCCTATTTTTTTCCAGAATAGATTGTCACTTAATTGGTAAAAGGTATTATTCCAGAGGAGAATATGCACCCTAAGAAAGAAATATATGTGCTCTCAAGAAGCATCACTGCCCAAGGTCATAATTAGCCTTTGAACTTGTTAGAAAGGAAATACCTGGATTCTGAAGAAGGTGTCTGTTTCAAAGATTTATGTAATTGTAATAACATTTCTTTAGATACACTTAAATCTATTTTATTATTGTTAAAATTGGAATTCTCAGAGCTTACCTAATAATGACAGGCAAGAAAGTAGAACAATTTAATAGTATCTGTGATGATTAAAGAACTAACCTTTTACTGTGTCCAAATAGTATCAGATTTGTGGCAACCTGAATTAGACTATGAGGCAAATTCTGAAATGTGAGCATGTTCCAGTTTCTAGTGAAAAGTATTCTAAATTTTTGATATTGGGACAAATTATTATCTTCAAATCAATTTGCAAATGTTCTTAAATGCTTATATTCAGATTGAAGTGACAAGGCTAATGCTCCTTAGAGAAAATGACTGATACATAGAAATCCCTTTAAAAAAAGAGAGACAGATGTGGAGATTTTAGGAGGACATATTGTTAGATAACTCTCTAAAAATTTTACAAAGATCACAAAGAAAGGTTCTGGAAATGGATGGACTGTGCCATGAAGTGGTGAGACCCTTCTCACAGGGGCTGTCTCATGCTGAGGCTAAATAATCCCTTATCATAGAAGTGATACAGGCTGCTCAGGCATCTGAACGGCGATTTATGAGAGCTTATGTTTGTATCTACAGTGGCCACAAGGTCCTGTTTCCGTAGCTTCAGGGTTGCCTGTGTTATGGGATTGGCTTCCCTGATAGCTCAGTTGGTAAAGAATCTGCCTGCAGTGCAGGAGACCCCAGTTAGATTTCTGGGTCAGGAAGATCCTCTGGAGGAGGGATAGACTACCCACTCCAGTGTTCTTGGGTTTCCCTTGTGGCTCAGCTGGTAAGAATCTGCCTGCAATGGGGGAGACCTGGGTTTGATCCCTGTGTTGGGAGGATCCCCTGGAGAAGGGAAAGGCTACCCACTCCAGTGGCCTGGAAAATACCATGGACTGTATAGTCCACAGGGTCACAAAGAACTGGACAAGACTGAGCCACTTTCACTTCAGTACCTGTATAGTAGTTATGAAATATACTGCAAATCAGAAATATAATACATCTTTTATATGTAGAGATGAGATATGACCATATATGATGAAATATATAAGTTTATATATTCCTTGTGTAAACATATTTACATATAGTTTATATAAGACTACTGCAAATATCTTCCCCTAGTTAGGTGTCCAGTGCCATAGCAGCCTTAACTCACAAGCTATGAAGAACACAGTGTTAACCTAGGGAAATGCTACACAATAATGATACATCCTAAGAAATCAAATTTATTAGAAAATTTATTAGCTCAACGTACATTTCCATTAGCTATTTTAAGGATGAAAATTAATATGATAAATTAAAGTTCAGCTGCCTCCAATTTGATGTAATCTTAATTCTAAAGTGGTGCTTAGTAGCAGCTATAAATGAAATGACTATTCTAATGCAGCAAGTAGAAAATTACATAGCCTTTTTAAGAAAGAGTGCTCTTTAAAATTGTGCCTGATGACTCACTACTTCTGTGATAACCCACAAAACGATCAGCCTCATTGGTTATGTTTATAATGTCACAAGTGCCCCAGTCAAAAACACAGAATCAACCTGGCATCCAGCAGAAAGGAGATAGGCATATGCTAGTTCTTTTTACTTACAGCAGATCTCAAAAGTTGTTCCTTGGCTTAAGAGACTTGGCCACCCATTAAACTCCTCCCTCCACCAAGTTATAGAATGTAATGGAACTGGGGTGATGGGCTTTCTCAGCCTGAATGGAGGTTCTTAATGGGTTTCTGTTTAACATAATTAATTGGTGAACATTTTAAAGATATGTTCATCAAAATTAGATTTCCTGATGGAGTAAATCAGGGAACAGATTCTAGCATGATGAATTATCCCTGGAATAACATGAGGTGCTATATAGGAGGCTTAATAATTAGATGTAGGAACAGAGCTAAGCAGGAGTGAGCAAGACTTAGGGGCATTCATTGGCAGAAATATCAACATAGTAATCCAAAGGAAATTGGCATGATCTATGGATGTACTAACAGCATATAGCACATTAGAGATGATAACCTAGATTAAATTGAAGAATTCTAATTAGGACCAGTCAGGCCATATCTGGTATATTGTGGACACCTTAGCAAAGAGGTGGAACAGCTGGAATTTGTACTTTTGAGAGTGTGTAGAGTATATAGAGGTTTAGTGCCTTAATCTGCACAGATAGTCTGGGAGTGGAAATCACTGAGAGCTGGATTCCCACATTTAGAGTTCTGTCCTGTTAACTGGAATCCTGTATGGCCAAATGGTTGCATTGCTGGGGAGATAGATTTGAGTTTCATTAAAGGAGGAACTTTGTGTCAGAACCTTCAAAATTTAGAAACTGTGATGCCCAGGTTGAGTTCTCTTTCACTGGAAGTTTAAAAAAAAAAAAAAAAACTTGGGTGAGGAAGTCAGAAAAGAGTTTTGAACTTGAATAGTTGTACTAAGCACACACATTTTGCACCAAGTAATTCCAATTCCATTTAGCATCTTATCATTAAACTTTTAACATATATTTTCATTTAAAAGTAATTAATTAATTTATTCTTGTTTTATTCTCATTAATTTATTCACTTGTTTATTAATTTATTCACTCACTGAGCAAATGTTTATTGCAGTTTATGTCAAGCACTATTCTGGGTGATAAGGATTTAGTGAATTAGACAGTTGGCATTCTAGTAAGAGAAGACAGAAATTTACAAAGATGAAAGCTTGTAATTTAAACTTATGAAGGAAATAAACAGGATAATATAGGAATAGACTCCCTGGAAGGGGATAATTTTGTCGTAGGGATCTCCTTTAATTTTTAACTCTGTTTTTGAGTTTGGTTATTTCTACCTCTGAAGTACTTCTGATTATTCTCACACCTTCTCTCCAACCACGTGTGGGGCAGATTTAACGTGGTACTGATGGGTGTCATTGCGAAGGTGCTTATTTGTCTAACAGAGAACAAGGCTTGACATATGTGAGACTTTCATTATATTTTCTCCCAAAGGTTAGGGCTTTTAATAAGGTTTATTTAATATTATAATTGTGCCTCCTTAAATTATAACAGTCAATTAAAAAATGAACAGTTCACTTTTAAATATCCAATTGTTTCCCCAGTTTTGTCACTTACTTTTCCAGGATTTAAACCTTGAACATATATTACCCTAAAACCTCTTGGTTTGAAAAGATTTCCCAAAACTGTAGATGAGATTTAAGCTAGAGGAATACAAATGGGAATTTTAGCATGTGGACAAAAACTTCTGAAATAAGTGACTTGAGTTGGAATTAGGAGTCTAAACAGAAGCACAAAGATTAAAGTACTGTATTTATTATTTCGTTATAAAGGCTTAGGCAAATTTGACCAAATACTACGTAAAATCCTAGCAAAACACTGAAATTTAACGAGTAAGAAATTTCATACACCTCCAAATGAAACTAACAGTTATTTGTTTTTTTCTTCAGATTGCCTACAGGCAGAAGCATGATGCTGCCAAAGGAGTCTCAGATTATGCTCACATGAAGGAGCCGCCTGAGATCAAACATGCCATGGAGGTCAATAAGCACCAGAGTAACGTAAGCAAGCTATTCCTCATGATTTTCTGGAAAATTGTAGTTAACTCGCGTCAGGGCTGGTGGATAAGTTGTTGAAGTTTAAATGTTAAAGTATTCTCTCAACGGTTATTAGAACCTTGTAGAATGCCTTTAAAATGTCACGTATTGCTTGCAGACCTGGAAATCGGGTTTCCAACAGCCTTTCCTATGGCTTCCTTGTCATGATGGCGATGCTCCCGTGGTTTCCAGTCTAGAATTGCAGAAGAACTGGGATGCTAGGGAAACTAAACCCCACTACGATTTCGTTTGGAATGAGTGTGGGGGCAGATGGTCACAAGACTCAAGAGGGGCAGGAAGACAATAGATGCCTGATGGCCAGCTTAGAAGCAGAAGGCCAGAGAGAGGAAACAAGCCTGTAGCAAACACATTTCTTCTTTGGCTGTAAGATAGCTAGTACATCAACGCTTTCATGTCTTTACTCAGCTATCACTACTGTCTTGGGGGCCTAGAAGAATATTTTTTCCTGAAATTGCAGTGGAAGCTTATTTGTCTCCATATCATGAATTCTTTGCTTTCTAGAAGGAATGTAGGAACTGTTTGTCAGGTTCTTTATGGGTTAGAATCAGTTAAGATAAAGTGTTTGCCTTTGTTGGGTCAGGAAGCTCTCTTTTCTTTGCAAAGTACCTGAAGCATCTTTGTCATCTCACACAGGCTCTGCCCCATCACTTAGTTCTTTTACTGAATTGTGCCTCCAGAGCCCCAGCTGTGCCGAATCTCTTTGTAGGATGGCAACAGTCATCTGATATTAAATTGCAATAGGTCAATGCTTAAGTAAGAACTGAGTGAGGTTTTACATTTTAATTCAAATGTATAAACATATGCCAATACCAAAAGTGCTTTTCTAAGATGGTTTAAGATTGATAAGAGATGAAGAAGCTACATATCTGTAATTACCAGCAAGGCCATTTTATCGGGAGGCTTTATAAGAACTTCTGCTTACACAACGACTATCACAGCCATAATAACAACCACTTAGTGAGCACTGCCGTGCACAAGGAACTGTGCCAAGGCTTTGATCATTTCCAGTTCTCACAGAATCCATGTACTGATTCCCATTTTGTAGATGAAGAAAATGAGACTGAAGAATCAAACTCCCCAGTCCACTCTTTTTGTTACAATCTACTGCCTCCCTCTTAAAGGTCACTCTCTGGTTATTGTGTCAAGATTTTAAATGAAATTTTTAAAATATAGGTCAAAATAGATTATCGTTAGATTTCAGATCAAAGGATGCTGTGCTCTTGTGGGAGAGAAAAACTGAGACCCTGGGCCTCCACTGTTTTGACCTGAAGAAACTTTGAATTTCTGTAAATGGTGTGGGTTAGAGGGTGGTCGTGGTGGTCTGGGGAGGTGGCTGACACTTTATAGACCCTCAGGAGATGCTATCTAACTCTATAATTCAATGAAATTCAAATACAGAAGTTCCTCATCGTGGAGCTGAGGTTATTATTTTAACTCTGCCTTTTCTTTTAAAAGGTCTTTGATTGAGGGATTGAGGGAATAGAGTAGAAAGCCCCTTTCTCCTTCATTCAATACTGTGTACTTATGGGAGAAGGATGTGTTTACTTACACTCCTCTGCCTCCTCGGCTCAACCTTTACATGCAAAGTTTGTACGTATAATGGGATTTTGAAAGTCTTTAAGACTGTTTACTCAGATTTAAAGTGAGAATGATATTTGTATTCTACCTGTGAAGTAGTTGATATTCCCTAGAGTCAAGTCACTTAGAATAATACATTTGTTGTCCCTACGATATGAAATTTAATTGTGGGTCTTGAAAAACACAGGAAACCAAGAACGTGTCTTGGTTCAGTAGGTGAGGCCACAGCATCTCCGTGAAATACAAAACTGTGTCTCCCATAAGACTTCAGTAAAATGAAATTCATTTGTAGAGAGTTTAACAGAATTACCTTTTCATAATGTGAAATGTCTCTTTGCACTATATTAATGACTTACTAATTTAAAACAAAATATGTTGTCACGTGTGTATCTGATTTTCCTAGAAACAATACATGTCAGCACCTTGATTTTTCTTTTTATGTTTTCACCAAAATCAAGTCAACTTTCTGATGTCTGTTAGAGAACCAAGAAACTGGGACAGTTACAGTTCAAAGCTTTTAATTTCTACCTCCTTTCTGGTCAGACTTTTTATTAGAACACTGATCAATGGGCCAGATGGAATCATTTTTCTTTTAGAGGCTGACTGTCCTTTATACCTTTGGAGATGTGAATAAGCAGGCTGAGAAGAGATTCCTTGTGACTAGCTGACTAAATTTCCACCTCAGAATAACTGAGAGTTCCAAGGGGAAGAGTATTCTGGGGGCAGTGGTCTTTTCTTTCACCCTCAAGTTCAATGATCATGAAACAGGAAAAAATAATTTCTCATAATATCCTCCACTGTCACACAGGTCAGAAAAGGAGTTGGGAGTCGGGCCAGGGATAAAAGGCTTCTTTTGCCACATGTTGCCTGGATAACCTTGGACAAGTTACACATACCTCCAAATCTGTTTTTTTTTTTTTCATATGTAAAATTGGGGTAATGAAATCAACCTCAGAGAGCTCTTGCAAGTGATAAATTAGGTATGATATGTAAAGGGCTCTGTTGAAGAGCCAGTTTGGAAAATACTAGTTCTGTTTGGTCCTCCTTCAGTTTTAAAGAGTGACTTAAGAGTTTAGGGTGATATCATTGTTAATTCAAAACAATGAAATGAAGTTAGATTTCTAAGAAGGCCAAATCAATATGAAATCTATGTTAAGAAGCATTTAGGTCAGAAGGGCATATTCACAAGGTTCCTGAACCCATTTAACCACCTATCTTGTTGATACTGTTATCAAAAAATGATTAAAAACAGCTCATCTTTTATTTATTTATTTATTTTGTATCTTCAGGGATGTACCCCTGCCAAATTTTTCTAATGTAATTAAAGAAACTGGAGATATTCTATCCTGTTACTTTCTCCAAAAGATGGGTTTGGAATGAAAACCTCAGTAACATTATTAGTTTTCATCAATCTTATCAGAGGCATGAAGAGCAGTACTTCTAAAGTTAAGTTAAACAAATTTTAGCTGCCATTTTAAGTTTTATAAATAATGTGATCTGTGTAGATTTTGATGAAATTAGAGTGGTAAGCTTTCCCAAAATACCATATTGGTAATCAATTCAATGTATATTAGAAAGGTATTCATCAGGGGAAACCAAAGACATAATACTCTTTTCAAGAATGATATATGTACTTTCTTAACATTAATAAAAACTTATCAGTAGTGCTCACTTTGGCTGCACATATACTAAAATTGGAATGATACAGAGAAGATTAGCATGGCCCCTGCACAAGGATGACACACAAATTCATGAAGCGTTCCATATTTTTGCCACAAAAAAGAAAACTATAGGCCAATATCACTGATGAACATAGATGCAAAAATCCTTAACAAAATTCTAGCAAACAGAATCCAACAACATATTAAAAAAATCATACATCATGACCAAGTGGGCTTTATCCCAGGAATGCAAGGATTCTTTAATATCCGCAAATCAATCAATGTAATACACCACATTAACAAATTGAAAGATAAAAACCATATGATTATCTCAATAGATGCAGAAAAAGCCTTTGACAAAATTCAACATCCATTTATGATTAAAACTCTCCAGAAAGCAGGAATAGAAGGAACATACCTCAACATAATAAAAGCTATATATGACAAACCCA